TGATACCGCCTTGGAAACCCAATGGGGGGTCACTTTGAGTCGGAATTGACCCTATAGCAGTGGGTTCGGTTCAGGTTCGGTGGCTCGTGGAAGGCTGCGGTCTGTGGCAGGAGCGCCAGCTCCATTTTGAATGTGGACGTCATTTCCATCGCCAGTTGTGTTCTTCCTGACCATTAAGCCAGCATGTGGCCATCCATGCTTAGACAAGACCGGGACAAACCTGGGGAAGGGCAGCCTGCCCTCAGGAAAAGTGTGCTTGAACGTAGATTACCCTCACACAAAGAACTAGGGAACTTGCCTGGGTGTGTCCTTAATGATTTACTGAAAATAACCCCATGTTATCCAAATTCTAATTAAACGTTGGGGTCTTGGTACTGTCTTGGAGCCATCTTGTGACTGAGGGCTGCATGGTCAAGAGTCATACCCTGACCACCAGGTATCCAGCTGGTCGAACCCCAGAACCCCAGAAGCAATCCTGTAATCCTTTTTAACCTTCAGAGATGTTAGAAGTTGTTGAGTTGGGCCTGACTCATAGCGACCCCTCCTTGGGTTTCCAAGGTAGTATCACTATGGAAGTAGATTGCCCCGTCTTCCTTCCGAGGAGTGGCTGGTGGGTTTGAACCGCCGGCCTCCTGGTTAGCAGTCAAGTGCCTTAGCCACTATGCTACCAGAGCTCACTTTTAACCTTCAGTGGTATGCATTTCCCAATCATGGCCCTTTCCCTGATTCTGTAGTCCCTCCCGAGACAGAGATGAATTGATCTGCCACCAACATAATTTTGTGATGATTTCCTCTGTTTTCTGGTATATACAATTAGCCCTGGACTCTGGTGGCACGGCGGTTAAAGCATTTGACTGCTCCCCAAAAGGTTGACAGTTCAAACTCACCAGCCGCTCCAATGGAGAAAGATAAGGCAGTGTGCTTCTGTAAAGATTTACAGCCTTGGAAACCCTGTGTGGGGCAGTTCTACTCTGTCCTCTAGGTGCACTGTGAGTTGGAATCAACTCGTGGCAGTGGGTTGGTCTAGTGAATTGGAATCAATTCATGGCAGTGGGTCTAGTGAGTTGGAATCACTCGTGGCAGTGGGTTTAGTTTGGGCTTTGCTTCAGTAAAGACTGACGGCCTTGACAGTTCTATTCTGTCCTACAGGGTCACTATGAGTTGGAATCGACATGATGGCAAGGGTTTGGTTTTGGAGAGTTATAATTACCCTCATGGTCATGAATCAGTGGGTTCCACTCAGCGTCTTGTACTGTGTACGTGCCGATGGTTTCCCTCATCTTGGATTGTCCGTCTAAGGCTTAATAAAGGGGTCTCTATAGAACCCGTTCTTGGAAGGAAGGTTGGGCAATCCTACTTCCGTAGTGATACTGCCTCGGAAACCCAAGGAGGGGTCGCTATGAGTCGGGGCCGACTCGACGGCACATAACAACAACAACAACATAGAACCCGTTGGGAGCTCTGGTAGTGTACTGTTTAAGGCACTTGACTGCTAACCAGAAGGCTGGTGGTTCAAACCCACCAGCCACTCCTCGGAAAGAAGATGGGGCAATCTACTTCCATAGTGATACTGCCTCGGAAACCCAAGGAGGGGTCGCTATGAGTCGGGTCCAACTCGACGGCACATAACAGTAACAACAGAACATGTTTGCATCTGGGGTCTTTTTTAGCCACCAGTCCTTACCATCCAGGTCTTGGCCCAGATGCCGATCTGAGAAACTCTCCCTGATCTTGGTAAAATTGCACCTCCAGACTCTCCTGAGGATAACCCTGAAGTGGGCGGCCTTGGGATGAAGCAGGATTGGCTGTGAGTCAGGGAACTGTTGAAGCTAAGGTGGTGCGTGTGTGGAACTGAATTCTCCTGCCTACTTCTGTATGCTGCGTTCTCCAAAGTGACGAGTAGCGCCCCAGATCCCCAAGTCTATTATCTTAATAGCACTTATTGCGATCTGAAATTTGTCCTGCCTGTTTAGCTACTGTCGACTCTCCTGAAATCTTCAAGAAGGTAAGATGGAATCAACATTTTCTACTACGTTGGGCCCTCAGAACCTAGATCAAGTTTCTGACTAGTGCTGAATTGTCTTTAACCCCAGATTCGGACAGAGAACTTGGCTTGACCTTTTGTCTCTGCCTTCTGAAAACAGTCCAAGCAATTAAGTTGTTCTTTGTTTTTCTAAAACAGCCGGGCAACACTTAAACAAGTGTAAATAAGTGTGTGGGGAGGGGAGGGTTGCACTGGCCCCACCATGGCAACAGATCTCCCAAAGGTGATGAGGTCAACACTATTCAAGGGCTGGGCCAATCCTAACTGGGCATTGAGACCTCGGTCATGCACACACATTGGGGCCCCAATGACTTAAGAAGGGCCCTAGGCCTCGGTGCTCTCATTTTGGGGGGCTTCCTGGATTTGGTGATATCAGCCATACATTGGAGAGGGTGGGGCATCCCTGGTGACAATGGCGGCCCTATGCAGGGAACTCTCCCAGACTTGCCTGATAAACCTCTTCCTTGTATCCTTTCTGGTTATAATAAACGGGTAACCGGAAGTGTAAGTAATTACTTTCCACGAATTTTATGAGCCCATACTGAGAATTAGCAAACCCACAGGGCCACTGAGACTCTGACTTGGGTCCAAATCAAACCAAACCCACTGCCGTGGAAGGGATTGCGACTCACAGCGCCCCTAGAGGACAGAGTGGAACTGCCCCATAGGGTTTCTTTGCAAGGCTGTCAATTTTACAGAAACAAAGCCCAAACCAAACCCACTGCTGTGAAGTCGATTCCGACTCACAGCGCCCCTAGAGGACAGAGTAGAACAGCCCCATAGGATTTACAAGGCTGTGAATCTTTGCCAAAGCTGACTGCCTCATCTTTCTCTCACCTAGAGGCTGGTGAGTTCTAACTGCTGACGTTTTGGTTTGCAGCCGAGTGCTTTAACCACTGCACTCCTGGATCTCCTTTGACTTAGCTCAGGGAGGCTGGTTCAGAGGATGCCTGCCCAGGCAGTCATCAGGACAGAGGAACAAGCTCTGGGTGACTGGTGGACAGAGAGAAGGCTGTCTGGGCGATCAGTGAAGGACTGGGTCCTTGTACATTGTGACCCAGCCCCAGGGGGCTAAAGGAAGACAGAGGGAGTGTTCTGAAGTGCAGGGAGTTGTTCGGATTCCCAAGTCTGTGGCTGGTACCTTATGACCTGGCTCCAGGGGATGTTTTGACCCAACTTTGAGTGGAAGGAAGACTGGGCAATCTACTTCCATAGAGATACCACCTCGGAAACCCAAGGAATGGTGGCTGAGTCGGTGCCTAAGGCACTTGACTACTAACCAGAAAGCTGGTGGTTGAAACCAGTCACTCCTTGGAAGGAAGGTTGGGCAATGTACTTCACAGTGATACCGCCTGGGAAACCCAAGGAGGGGTGGCTGTGAGTTGGGTGCAACTCCACGGCACATAACAACAGAACTGGGTGGGGACTAGAGATGTGGGCGGGTGAAGCCTGAGTCCACTTCCGGGTGAGAATTGGATTTATGCTGGTCCTTGCTGTGCAGTTAGTGATGAGGGTGGCGTCTATGCACTTTGCCCCTTTAATAGTGCAGTTAGCGACATCTAATGTCTGCCTGTTTTATTCACTGTGGGATGTCCAGACCTTTGCACAGCGCCGGACACATAATAAGAGTTCTGTAAATTTTAGAGTCTAAAATTAGAACCATTCATCTAAAATCTAGAGGGAATGAGGGGCATGGAATGCCAAGCTAAGGAGCTCTGACTTGATGGGAGCCAGGGAAGAGTCCTGGACCAGGTCGGGACAGAGTGAGATGCCATTGAAGCTCCCCTGGAGACTGAGGACAGGTGAGGGAAGCCAGGGTAAGAGTCAAGGCCACCGGGATGGGGACAGGGTAGTCCAAGTAGCTACTTAAGCCAAAGAGAAAAGACCAGGTGACCATTTAGCCAAAGGAGTGGCCAGGAAAAACACCAGGTTTGTTGGAAGGGTGGTGATGTCCTTGGTGAAATCAGGACCCTCTCCAATCCAGTAGGAACCACCAGCAGCTGTTAGATGCACCCCCCCAGCCCTACCCTCTCCCCTGCCCAGTTTTCCCAAAGCAGTGCGGCCCTGGGAAGAGGGGCAGACACACAGCCGTTCCAAACACTTGTTCTCTCCTCAGTTTAATGGTGGTTAGTGGAATTGCCAAACCCCCTCCCCGTTCCCCTCCCCGCCCCGTATAAAACATGTTTTTTGTTTTTAACAAGAAAAAGGGGGCAAAAGCCAGGAGTGGGGAGTGGGGCTCAATCTGATATTTTCATACAGATTTTTGATTTTTTTTTAATATATTATATATAAAACCATAGAGATCAATGTGCCCCCCCAACTTCTTTCCCCCTCCCTGGGGGGCCTGGAGGAGAGATGGGGAAGGCCCCCCCAGGAGTGGATAGACAGACAAATATGGGTGGGACAGATGTGGGTGGAGGAGGTGGAAGGCAGGGGAGCCCAGGGACCTGGGGAAGAGGGCTTGGAGAAAAGGGCTGGGCCTGTCTCCCTAACTGCCCCCCATCAAAGTTATGACACAAAGACACAGAATCCCTGTTTCCACCCCCTCCCCCCGCCCCTTCCCCCACCGTGCAAACATGGCTTTGCAAAGAGGTGCCCAGAGCTCTGTGGAACTCTTACAATGGCTGGCATGGGGTCTGAGACCCCCAAAGAAATCTGTGTTCCCCTTCCCTGCCCGCCCCACCCGTCCCAGAATCTGACCCCCTCCCCACAAGACCTGGTTCTGCAGCTTAGGGGCCCTGGCCTTCCCCCAGTTATCTGTCCCCATCCCCATCCCTACTGCCCTCCCTGGGCTTGAGGGGGTCTGGACCTTTGGCCCCTGCCTCCTGGGAGACCCAGACCTCTGGGCCCTCACTTCCGGCCCTGGCAGAGGTCCAGGCATCCGACACCCGCATCCCTGCCCAAGCGTCTGAGGTGTTAGTGGTGGGGGGAGAAGCCCACCAGCCCAGACTCTGGCAAATGTCTTTGCTGGTTCCTTGCGGCTGGCAGTGCGGGGCACCGGAGGCCAGGCCCAAGCCTGCGGTGCAGGTGGGGTCAGATGAAGAACTCTTCTTTTCTCTTGTGTCCGTCGCTGCCATTGAGGAAGGCTTCTCTTGCTTCTCCCTGCTCGTCCAAGCCACTGGCTTCATGGGTCAGATAGGAGCCTGAGAGGCGCAGAGCCCCGTGCAGAAGGAGCATATATGCAGACCCAGAATTGGACAGAACGTAAGGAGAGAGGGAGACAGACGAGATACAAACCGGATGGAGGAAGAGGGAGAAACGGAACACACAGGAGTCACGTTCAGGGAACAGCAGAACAGTGGCAGGGAAAGGTAAAAGCAGAATTAGATGACTCCGAAAATTCAGGAAATATCAACCCTTCTCCCTTCTCTTGGTGACACCCCTTGCTCTGTTCCCAGCACATGATAAGTTGTTTCAGTCTAGCTTGCGCCCTTCATTCGGATTGAATATCACCCCTTTGGAGTCCTCCGCCGAAAGCCCCGCCCCTTCAGGTACAGAAACCTCAGTTTCGAATCCTGGATCCAGGCCCCGCCCCCTTACTACCCAGGCCCTATACCCGCCCTCTTTCTAGTTGGACTCCAGGCTCCGCCCCCTTCTGAATCTCACAACCAACCACACCCCTCGCTGAATCCAGGCCCCGCCCCCACTCACCCTTCTGCCTTACCGAGCACCAGACCATGCCCACCAGTACACATATGATCAGAAAGACCAGCAGCGCCAGGATGCCGCCCACAATGGCGTAGGGTACCGATGTCTGAGCCTCTACCACCGCACCGGGGTCTGCCAGAGGGACAGGGCGCAGAACCAAGTCATCAGAGGATGGTCCCAGCGCTACCAGACTTCTAACCCTTCTGCACACCTCACCTACCCACGCCCCTCAAAAATTACTGCCACCTGGTGGCTCCATCCATGGCTCTATTCTTTCCAGAAGCTCCACTTCCCCAAGGAAGGAACGCTTATTGGTTTGTATGCTGCCTGACTCCACCCCCTAATACCAGGCCTGTTTCTCCCCTCTCTCCACCAGGACAGAAACTTGTGACTTGTGACTCTGTTTCTTCCCCCACAGAACCCCAGGTCCAAATCCTTTCCCACCTCCTACAACGCTCCAGTTATTTAAAATGCTGGCCTCGGTATGTTGTTCAGTGCCGTGGAGTGGATTCCGACTCGTAGCCACGCTACATACAACAGAACGAAATACTGCCCAGGCCTGGGCCATGCTCACAACCTTTGAGCCCACTGTTACAGCCACGGTGTCAATCATTGAGGGTCTTCCTCTTTTTTGCTGACCTCTCCCAAGCGTCATGTCTTTCTCCTGGGACTGGTCCCTCCTAACAGTATGTCCAAAGTTCATGAGAGGAAGTCTCCCTTCTAAGGAGCATTTGGGCTGTACTTCTTCTAAGACAGATTTGTTCATTCTCTGGCAACCCGTGGTATATTCAATATTCTTCACCAACACCACAATTCAAAGCCATCAATTCTTCTTCCATCTTCCTTACTCAATGTCCAGCTTTTGCAAGCATATAAGGTGACTGAAAATACCATGGCTTGGGTCAGGCACACCTTAGTCCTCAAAATGGTATCTTTACCTTTTTTTTTTTTTAAGAAACAACACTTTAAAGAGGTCTTTTGCAGATTTACCCAGTGCTATGTGTCGTTTGATTTCTTGACTGCAATTTCCATGGATGCTGACTGTGAATCCAAGTAAAATAAAATCTTTGGCAGCGTCGGTATTTTCTCCATTTATCGTGATGTTGCTTATCGGTGTGGTTGTGAGGATGTTTGTTTTCTTTATGTTGAGGTAAACACAAGCCACCATGGAATGCTAGGGACCATTCCAAGCACTTTACACATTTACAGCATATGACCCTCACAACTCTCTACTCTATGAGGTAGGTGCTACTGTGTATTTCCACTTGACTGGTGAGGAAACTTAAGGCACAAACAAAATTTCCCAAAAAAACCCCTGAACTTGTTAGTGTGGTGTTGATTCTGACTCACAACTACCCTGTTAGGATGGAGCAGAACTACCCCCAAGTTTTTCAAGGCTGTCAATTTTGGACAGAAGACTGTCACATCTTTTTCTCCTAGAGTGCTGATGGGTTCAAACCAATGACCTTTGGGTTAGCAGACCAGCGCTTAACCCTTGTGTTACAATAGGGAATGGCAAAGCTGAGTTTGAACCCAGAAGGTCAGTCTGGCCCCAGAACTGTAAGAATTCTGTTAACTGTTGACCCCTTGAATCGTTCGCTTTGCTCAAGCCCCGCCCCTTCAAACGCGGTTGCGGGCCGGTGGACCTTCTGGGCCCATTCCCAAAGCCCCATGGCACCCACCCTGCAGTCTGCAGGAGAACCCAAGACCCCGCCCCCTCCCTGAGCCCCGCCCCCAGGTCTGCCGCATCCTCCGCTCACCGTAGACCACAAGCACGTAGAGCGCCCTCGCGTGGCCATGCTTGTTCGACGCCTCGCAAGTGTAGGTGCCATTATCCGCTGATACCAGCCCCGGCAGCGTGAGCGTCTCCCCTAAAGCCTCGGCCCGCTCTGGCAGAGAATCGTTCCCGCGGTTCCAGCGGATCTGGTTTGGCCTGCGGGGGGTGGGCGTGGGGGGTGGGTAAAGGGCAGTGAGAATTAAGCACTCAGGTGTCAGCTCCCAATTTCTCCAGAATCTCTGGATTTCTCCAGAATCTAGACAGGCAGCGCCTACTTCTCCCTTAGCCCACCGTTATGGAGTCAGTTCCTGGAGACTCTATGGCTACAGACTAAAACTGTTCCATAGAGTTTTCTTGGCTATCATCTATGGCAGCAGGTTGCCAGGTCGTTCTCCCGAGGTACTGCTGGGTGGGTTTCAGCTATCATCACTCTTTACTAGTTGAAGGCAAACTTTCTGGGTCATCCTGCTAGGGCCCCAAAATAAGACGGCCCCTCTAGTCCTCTTCTTCCTAGAAAACCAACAGTTCCAGGCCCTGTTCCCATCCATCCGGCTCTCAGGAATCCCAGGCCACCTTCAGAATCCAAGAATTGGGGGCCCCACAGTCTGCTTCCTTGGGACCCGGGAGTCTGAACCTCCGATCCTCTCCTTGCTCAGGACCCAGGGGCCCAGACTTCCAGCCCTCTTCTGTGAACCCAGGAGCATCCGAGCCCCAGAGCCCACCTGGGGTTCCCGGATACTGCACACGTTAGCACCAGCGTGTCTCCCTCCCTCACCACAGCTTGGGAGGCGTGGATCCGGGCAGTGGGGGAGTCTGGGAAGAAATGAACAGTAAATTTGATTATGGTGGTTATGTAGGTATATACATTTGTCAAAACCTTCCAAACTGTATGCTTCAAATTGGTGCATCTTATGTCAATTACACCTCAATAAAGTTAATTCTGGGGAAAAAAAATAAACGAAATGAAAAGCCAGAGTGGACGTGTGGGTCATCACAGCGGCCTGGGCACCCCCTAAGGGCAGGTGGCTGACGCTGGGGCCACTTACACTGCACGTCCAGCTCGTACTGCGTCTGCTTGCTGTGGCCAGAGGGCAGTGCCTGGTTCTGCGCCTCGCATATGACAATACCACCGTCGTCCTTGCGGTCCACGCGGAAGCGCACTGTGCTCATCACTCTCCAGACCTTGCCATTTTCCTGTTGGCTGCTCACTCCTGCCATGCCATGCCAGGACACAGTCAGACTGCGATGCCTGCCTCCCAACCACACCTGTCTCCTCCCCCCAGCAGATCCCGAAGCAAGCGACTTGCCAAACTGTCCCTCCGCTAGGGAGTTCTGGGTGTGCGTGGTTAGACGCTGGACTGCTAGCCAAATGGCTGGTGGTTGGAACCCACCAGCCGCTCTGCAGGAGTCGGCTTCCATCAAGATGACAGCCTTGGAAACCTATGGGACAGTTCTACTCTGTCCTCTAGGGGCGCTGTGAGTCAGCATGCACAGACGGCAGTGGGTTTAGGGCTTTGCTTCCCTAAAGATGAAACCAAAACCAAACCAAACTCACTGCCATCGAGTCCCTTCTGCCTTTCTGACTCATAGCGAGTGCCCTCACTGGGTTTCCGAGGCTGTAAATCTTTAGGGAAGTAGATCACCCTGTCTTCCTTCCTCAGAGCGGCTGGTGGGTTTGAACCACTGAGCTTCTGCTTAGCAGTCAAGTGCCTTATCCACTATGCCACCAGAGCTCCTTCTGTAAAGATTGCAAATGCAATGCATTGTCATAGAGTCGTATCTGACTCATAGCGACTCCTCCTTGGGTTTCCGAGGCGGTATCACTATGGAAGTAGATTGCCCAACCTTCCTTCCGAGGAGTGGCTGGTGGGTTTGAACCGCCAGCCTTCTGGTTAGCAGTCAAATGCCTTAGGCACTGCACCACCAGAGCTCCTTGGAAACGATATGGGGCAGTTGTACTGTGTCCTCTAGGGGCGCTGTGAGTTGGAATCTAGCGCAAGGGTTTTGTCCCCTTGAAAGCTGCTTCCCACACACCCCTTCTCATCGATCAGTTAGTTCATTTAAAGCTTCATATTAAGCTATAAGTAGTTGACAGGATCTGCACGTTCTCTCCTCTTATCTCCGTCCACACAGAACTCATGACTTTCCCGATATCCTCCAAGCTCCACGCAAGCTACAGCTCTTTAAAGTCTTCCTTCAAACCCTACCCCTAAGGAATCTGCCTCTTTCCCAATCTCATCTGGTTAGAATCCTGACGTCTTTCTAGTACCCACCCTCTTAGAATTCTTCTTCTCTTCCCAGAACCCCTCCCCGATTTCCTTCCAAGCTCCGCCTTCTTAGACTCAGCACAATTTTTGAAGCTCTGCCCCGCTCCGCTCCTCGGAGACTCTGGACCAGTTTTCCAAGCTCACGGCCATAAAACCAGCCATGCCATTTCAAGCCCCGCCCATAACCCCGCCTCCTTTTCAAGCCACACCCCCAATAACCCCGCCTCCTCAGGTCCCGCCCCTCGCCCGCAATCAGCAACCTGGTACCTTTCAGCTCCTTGCGGTCCCGGTACCAGCGCAGGACGGCGGCCGGGCGAGACCGCGGAACTAGGCAACTGACCTCCACCTCGCCACCCTCCACCGCCTGTTCCCGGACCTCCACCACCGGATTCTCCGGGGCCACTGCCGCAGGGAAAGGGGGATATGAGGAGTGGTCACACGGAAGGCTCAGACGTGGCCCCCATGGGACCAGGTTGCGGGATCCCAGGGACTAAGGGGAGCCAGGGTACCAGGGGCAGTGGTCAAACACGGAGCCCAAAGGTGAGGAAGGCCATGTTTACTGGGACCAAGTTGTCCGGGAGGTTAACTTGTCCGGGAGGTTAGCCAAGGGCAGACGTTACCAGGATGAAAGGAAAACAGGGGAAAAGAGAGGAGGCCCTTACCCAGTACAGTGAGCGTGGCGATCTGGTGGTGGGTGTCCTCCGTGTAGAGCTGGCAGAAGTAACCCCCTTCGTCCTCCAGGCGGGCGTCGGAGAGCCGGATCCGCACCCTGCGTGGGGAGAACTCCTCAAGCTGGAAGCGATCGTCCTTCAGGGCTAGAGAGGAGAAGGGAAGGGGTGAGCGCGTGGGGTCTCCCTGTAGAGTCCCCCCTTCTCTAGCTCTCTTTTCTCCAGCCATACCTATGATCTGAGATGCCCACCCCAATCACTCCCAGGAGGAGCCAGGCCCTCCCCACCGTAGACCCAGGAGTCCAGCCCCCTCAACCCCCTCTTCAGGTCCCAGGAGTCCAGCCCCCAGCCCCTCCTTCCCCAGGACCCGGGAGTCCAAGCTCCCAGGCCCTCCTCCCTCAGACCCAGGAGACCAACCCCGAGCTCCTTCCTCCCCAGGACCCAGAGGTCCAGGCCCCAGCCCCTTCCTCCCCAGGATTCAGGAGTGCAGGCCCCCCAGCCCCTCCTCCCTCAGACCCAGGAGTCCTGCCCCCTCAACCCCCTCTTCAGGTCCCAGGAGTCCAGGTCCTCAGCCCCCTCCTCAGGTCCCAGGAGTCTAGACCCTAGCCCTCTCCTCCTTCAAGACTCAAGATTCCATTCCCAGCACTCACCTCGGGTGCCATTGAAGAAGAGGGTCTGCCGGGCTGGGTTCTGAATGACAACTATGGACCCATCGTACTGGTGCAGACGGCAGGTGATCTCAGCCACCCCACCCTCAGCCACGGTCACATTCTCTGTCTGGACTTCCTGTCCTGTCCCTGGAGGTAGAGACAGAATAGCAGATGGCTTGAGGGCTACAAATCAACCTTGTCTTTCTCTGCTCCTCTCCCGTCCCAGCCTGCAAGCCCTATCCTTCAGTTCCTTACACCTCACGTTTCTTGGGGGCTGGGAGAGATGACAAAACCTGCCCCCTTCTCAAGGGGGAGCTGCAGTCAGGATCCAGTGTTAGGTGCTGTACCCAGGCCGCACAGCGTAAGGGTGACGGGAAAATCGGGAACCGAAGAATCGTAACAGTTATACAACAGAATCAGTATTAACTAATGTCACTGAATTGTCCACGTGAAGGATGTTGAGAAGGCAAAACTGTTGCATAAATATTTAGCACAATTTTTAAGATAGCATCGTAAATAAACCAAGAGTAAGCCCCGCCCACAAACCCGCCCCTTTTCTAAGCCACACCCCACCAACCCCTCCTCCTCAGGTCCCGCCCCTCGCCCGCAATCAGCAACCTGGTATCTTTCAGCTCCTTGCGGTCCCGGTACCAGCGCCGGACCGCGGCCAGGCAAGACCGCGGAACTAGGCAACTGACCTCCACCTCGCCACCCTCCACCGCTTGTGGACTTCCTCGCCTTTGGTCTCCGTGTTTGACCCCTGCCATTGGTACCCTGGCTCCCCTTAGTCCCTGGAATCCCGCAACCTGGTCACATGGGGGCCACGTCCGAGCCTTCTGTGTGACCACTCCTCATATTCCCCTTTCCCTGCGGCAGTGGCCGCGGAGAATCCCGTGGTGGAGGCACGAGACTGCTGTGTGTCTTACAAGGCCCGTCTCTTCACACTTGGGTGCATGGAGCAGGTCTGCAAAGAAGTCACCATACTCCAAATGTTCTTCCCAGCCACGCACGGGCCTTTGCAAGCTCCTGGAAAGGAGGGGTTCTACCCGCCTCGGATCTGGGCAGGCTGTGACTTGCTTTGACAGAAGGAATTTTCTGGAAGTGATGCTGTGCCCTGGGTGGAAAACGCTCGCCCACCAACCTAAAGGTTGGCCGTTTGAACCTGCCCAGTGGTGCCATGTTACTTTCAGCATTCTTCGCCAGCACCACAACTCAAAAGCATCAACTCTTCTTGTCTTCCTTATTCATTGTCCAGCTTTCACATGCATATGAGGTGACTGAAAATACCCTGGCTTAGGTTAGGCACACCTTAGTCTTCAAGGAGACATCTTTGCTCTTCAGCACTTTAAAGAGGTCTTTTGCAGCAGATTTGCCCAGAGCAATACATTACGGGACTGCCATTAGCACTATCAGTTCTGTTCTGGAAAAAAGTGCAGCTGGAATGCTCCTTGAAGTAAGAATGGCCAGAGTTTGTCTCCCCTACTTTGGTCATGTTGTCAGAAGGGGCCATTCCCTGGATAAGGATATCATGCTTGGTAAAGTGGAGGGTCAATGAAAAAGGGGAAGGCCCTCAATGAGACGGATTGACACAGTGGCTGCAGCGATGGGGTCAGGTGTAGCAGGGATCGTGAGGCTGGCGCAGGACCAGGCAGTGTTCCATTCTGTTGTACGTGGGGTCGCTATGAGTCGGAGCCAGCCTGACAGCACCTAACAACAACAGTGGCGCCATGGGAGAAGGGCACGGAGATCAGCTTTCATAAAGATTAAAGCCAAGACAACCCCACGGAGCAGTTCTACTCTGTAACCCACGAGGTCACCACAAGTCGCAATCAACTTGCCAGCAATGGGTCTTTTTTTTTTTGATGTATGAGTTCTGGCGCTTAGGCCTCAAGAAGCCTTGCACCCTCTGCTCTTGCCTCCTTGCTGCCCTAAGACTGTTCTGCGAAGATGCCTGGACTAGCCTCTTTGAAGATGAGAGGCCACACAGAGAGAGAAGCCCAGTCGCCAGCCAGCACCAGCCGCCAGACATGTGAGTGAGGCTGTCCCGGATCAGTCACACCACCAGAAGATGACAGCCACAGGAGTGACCCCAGCTGACAGAGAGAGAGTAACTGCCTAGCTGGAGCCAGCTCAAATTGCAACCCCTGGGGTAGTGAGCAAATAAAATGTGGTCGTTTTAAGCCATTAAAGTTTGGGAAGTCTGTTCACTGATACAACATACAAGCTACATTTCTCAGCATCCCTTGGAGTTAGCTGGGGCCGAGTAACCTGTTAGGAGTTCCTGGGTGGTTCAAATGGTTAAGTGCTAGACTAATAACTAAAAAGAGCTCTGGTGGTGTAGTGCCTGAGGCATTTGATTGCTAACCAGAAGGTTGGCCGTTCAAACCCACCAGCACTCTGCAGAAGGAAGACTGGGCATTCTATTTCCATAGATATGTACTGCCTCAGAAACCCAAAGGGGGTTGCTATGAGTTGGAATCGACTAGAGACGCCTTGGAAGTGAAGCCTGGCAATCTGCTTCTGAAAGGTCACACCTTTGAAAGCCCAATGGCTTTCTACTCTGGACACAAGGAGTCAATTCCAATGATAACAAACAAAACATGTCACTTAACTGCTGGCTTATGGGATGAAGATTCAGGTGCGCCTGACCCAAGCCATACTATTTTCAATCGCCTCATGTGCATGTGAAAGCTGGACAATTAATAAGGAAGACGGAAGAAGAGCTAATGCTTTTGAATTGTGGTGTTTGGCAAAGAATACCGAATATACCATGGACTGCCAGAAGAACGAACAAATCTGTCTTGGAAGTACTACAGCTGGAATGCTCCTTGGAAGCGAGGGTGGCCAGACTTCCTCTCACCCACTTTGGTCATGTTGTCAGAAGGGCCCAGTCTGCCCTCCCTGACTAGAACAGACGCACCATGAAAGCAGGGATGTAATCCGTTGAGTTTACTGCTGTACCCCTAGAACAGCACGGAGAAAGCAAGCTTGCTAAGGGGGAGGGGCAGCGCAAAAGGGCAAGACCCTCAGGGAGGCAGACTGATACAGCGGCTGCAACAAGGGGCTCAAACAGCAGGGTCGGTGAGGATGGTGCAGGTGCTGCATTCTGTTGCACATACAGGGTCAGTCCCTCTGAGGCGGGACACACTCGATGGCACCTAGCAACCACAATGGGATGTAAGTGGAAGAGGTAAACACCTCTTCCAGGCCTGCCCCACCTCCCTCACGATCCCTCATGCTGGCTGAGTGGAGAGGACTCCAGGGACACTGGACGGAGCCCAGGTCCCTGACGGGATGGCCCCCTCACCCGCACAGGACTGTGACTTGCCTGAGCAAGAAATACACTGTTTTGTCAAGTCGTTGAAGTGTCAGTGCTGTTCCTAACGGAAGTTAACTCACCCTGATTAATCCATCCGAGGAATCAGGTGCGGGGAACTAGACAAGGGGGCTAGCAACGGAGGAAACAGCCTACAGGAAAACTCAAAGCTGAGCCTAGTGACCAACATCATCCCCACCACCGCTGTCTTCATCATCTTCAAAATAACTATCACCACATTTGTTGTTAAAACCCAAAACCAAACCCACTGCCATCGAGTTGGTTCTGACTCATAGCGACCCCTACTGGGTTTCCGAGGTGCTAAATCTTTATGGAAGTAGATTGCCCAGTCTTGCTTCTGTGGAGCAGTTGGTGGGTTTGAACCACCAACCTTCTGGTTAGCAGTCAGATGCCTGAGGCACTGCACCACCAGAGCTCCTTACAGTTGTTGTTGTTAGTTACTGTCAATTGGCCCCCGATTCACAGCAACCATAGAACAAAATGCTGCCTGCTCCCCCTGAGCATCTGCAGATGAAACTGCTGTGACTGACCCATTGGGGTTTCACTGGCTGATTGTCAGGAGTGGGTCACCAGGCCTTTCTTCCTGGTCTTAGTCTGGAAGTTCTGCTGAAACCTGTTCAGCATCAGGGTAACACGGAAGCTGTACATGGCGGCTGTACGTGAGGTGCCCTGGTTGAGGACTGAACCCAGGTGCCCCGCACGGAAGATGAGAATTCCACCACTGAACCATCACAGCGCCTTCAACAACCCCTTCAACTGTCAGTGTTAGTCATTTGCTGTGTCAGGCCCTGGGCTAAGGATATTACCTCCATTAACCAAAACCAAATTCACGGCCATCAAGTTGATTCCAACTCATAGTGACCCCCGTCGGGTTTCCAAGGTGGCAAATCTTTATGGAAATAGATGGCCCCATCTTCCTACGGAGGAGTGGCCAGTGGGTTTGAACAACCAACCTTCTGGTTAGCAGTCGCATGCTTTAGGCACTCTGCCGCCAGAGCTCCTTTAGATGGATTTAGGCATGTTGTTGTTGTTATGTGCCGTCGAGTCGGACCCGACTCATAGTGATCCCTCCTTGGGTTTCCGAGACGGTATCACTACAGAAGTAGATTGCCCAACCTTCCTTCCTCCGAGTGGCTGGTGGGTTTGAACCGCCAGCCTTCTGATTAGCAGTCAAGTGCCTTAGGCACTACACTACCAGAGCTCCTATTACCCATATGTTGTCCATTTATTCATCACAATACCTGTATAAAGTAGGCACTATTATCAATCCTAAGGAGCTCTGGTGGTGTAGTGCCTAAGGCATCTGACTGCTAACCAGAAGGCTGGCGGTTCAAACCCACTGGCCACTCTGCAGAAAGAAGACTGGGCAATCTACTTCTGTAAAGATTTACTGCCTCAGAAATCCAAAGGGGGTTGCTATGAATGTCAGAATCGACTTGATGGCGTTGAGGTTTTTATTATTACTATTATCAATCCTTGTTTGTTTTTCTAATTCCCCATGTTATCAATGAGCAAACCGGCCCAGAGAGATGAAGTGACTTGCCCAAGAGCATAGCATCTGATTCCATCTCCTGCATCTCAAATCCCCCCTGTCTGGGTGGAGTGTGCACCACTGGTGAGGGGAGCTGGAGCGAGGACGGTCATCTGAAGTGGGAGGAGCTTCTGAAGACATCGCATGCCAAGCTCAGACGTTAGCTCTTATCCTGAAGGCCAGTGGAGGTCTTGAAGCAGAAAAGTGGCATGATCTCATCTGGTTATTTATCTTTAAATGAGGGACAGCTAGCTCTTTGTGGCTCCTTCATTCTCTCTCAGGATTTCATTGTGTCTCAGGATTTCATTCATTCATCTGCATATTTCCTGAGTAGGTTTCCAGGGGCTGGGTGCCCAAAGATGAGTCAGATTTATGGGCAGTTAGACACCAACCACTGTAATATCCTATCAAAGGTTTACATTTCCTATAAGTGGGATAGGTAGCCTGATTTGGTCGCTGAGGGGTTGGAAAGAATTTCGGTATGTGCAGGCAGAGACAGCTGGCTGCCTTCCTGACATCCCTGCTTCCCTTTCTCCTCACCAAAGAATCCTGATAGGATTCGATGGTTGTCCTATGTCCAGCTGAAAGATATATTTCCCAGCTTCCCTTACAGGTAGGTGAGGCCATGTGATAAAGTTTGTCCAACTGGATGTGAGCCAAAGCATCACATGGTAATTTGGGCAGCACTTCTTAAAGAAAGACGGTAAGTTCTTTTTCCATCAAGTCACCCTTGTGCTGACTGGAGCTGGGATGTGATGGCTGGAGTTCTGGCAGCCATGTTGGACCATGAGGCCCAGAGCATTAAGGATGGTAAAAGGAACAAAAAGGTAGAAAGTGCCTGAGTCTCTGGTGATGGTGTGGAGTTGCCCTAACCTGGGCTCCTACTTTTGGACTTCTTC